GTCTCGGCGCTCTTGCTTTGTTTCTGCTTCCTGCTGGGGTGTTACAGGTGCCAGCCATCAGCGAGGCCAAAGAGGATCGGGAGTGGTGGGGGTTGGACAACCCCCGTGGTGAGCATAATTCAAGGGACCTGCCGGCGCAAGTTGTGCGAATTAGTCCAGGAGCGGACGGTTGCAATCGGCCGCATCCGCCAGCGGCGCTCCAAAGGTGGCGGCCGGACTTCGTTTCTCCGGACCATGATCTCCACTGGGTCGTCGCTATGCTCTCCCGAGCCTCAAAAAAAGATCAGGAGAAGGCCCAGGCTGTAAAGGGGAGGAGCCGGTTCAATTCGGACGGCTCCGTCCGGAAAGGGCCCCCATGCCATCGCGGTTGCAACGGCAGCACGGGATGCTCTGTGAACATAGATGCATACAAGAAGTTGAAGGAAGGGTCTGACGAGTTCTGTCGGCATTTGCTCAAATGTGTGTCATTCCCGCGGCAGAGCAAATTCCCGCCGCTCAACGAGCTGGTAAAACAGTTTCCTGACGGTGCGGCGCCGGCAGACTGTCTTCTTCCCGTTTGGGTGGGCCGCCGCAGGAACAAGACCGGGCAGAGGGCGCAAAGGTGCTGGAGCTTCAACCGGATAGTTTGGCCCTGTTGATTTTCCGAAGCCTATGCGGAAGGAGGTCGAGGAGGAGGGTATATGGACTCGGATTCGGACAAAGACCAACCGCTTCCCGGAGTGAAAGCCGGGCAGAACGCCAGGCGGCGCCCGGACGTAATTACAGGATTCTGCGGAGATCCCGTCCCATCTGCGGGAGCATCAGCTCAAGTGGCCGCGATGGATGCCTGGTTCCAAAAGCAGGATCGCCTGCACCACTGGCGTCCGCATCAGCTAGTCTAATCCAAGCAGCACTGATGGCGCTAGGCAGTGCGAGTAGCGCAACCTGTAAAAGAAGTGAGATGACTAGGATGGTAGGCACGGTGAAGCAAGAGCGGGAATTTCGCAAAGCCATTTCCTTCGACGGCATAAGGTCTTAGGGTTTGGGGTTAAGGCCACTGCTTGAAGGATCCTGCAAAGGGAACCCTATTATTATAGGACTTTAGAGTATACCCCTTTTGTAAAGGGGCCCCAGACCCTGTGGCTCTGAAGCGGAAGTCTTATGCCGCCTCAACATGCCTTGAGGCTCTTGAAAGACAAGTGTCTCGAACCTCTCCGGCATACAACGGGCTTTTCTGCCGCGTGAAAGGGATTAGGGTCTAAGGCATCTAAAAGGTTTGAGGGTATGGGGCTTCGGGGTTTAGAGCATAGGATTTTGGGTTTTAGGTGCTTAGGGCAGAAAGGGCTTAGGGGCTAGGGTTTTAGGGCATAGGGTGTAGGGGTTTAAGGTTCGGGGTATGGAGTCTGTATCCTGGTTTCAGGCCGTAACGTTTAGGGTGTGGAAACCTCGATCGGACCGGCTTGGAAACATGTAGACTATCACGCAACCTATGGCACAAACCACGAGAAAACCTAAACCCTAAACCTCTATACCCGGAAGCCCAAAACCCAAAGCCCTGAAGACTAGAAAACTTGAAGCGCAGAGGTGCCTCAGAGCATGCGTTTCGGGTCGTGGTAAACGGGTTGTTTATAGGTAGCTTCTCATCTACCCCCAACAAGGATTGAGGGTGTACTTAGTTGCATACTAGGGGTTTAGGGTTATTAGGGGAACACTGAGGAGCCTGCTGTAGGGGCCTTCATGACTGGGGTTTGGGGGTATATCCCAGTAAATTAACAATAAGGACCCCCCAGAACCTTTTCTAATTATTGACGCCCTTAAATTTGCCACAATAAGCCTAATGAACGCGCAGTTGTTTGTGCCGGATGTTATTCGGCCATGACCACTACGAGTTTTATTTCGGGTTTAAGGAGCACTATGTAATGTAGAGGCCCAGAGGGGACTTAGTAAGTAGGTTTAGGGCTTCGGGATTGGAGTTTAGTAGGGTTTAGGCACCCTAAACCTGAACCGTTTAAGGTGTAGGGTTCAGCTACGTAGAGGTTCAGGGGACTTAGAAAGTAGGTTGTAAGTAGAATTGTAAATTATACGAATCTTAAATGCAGTTACCCCTATGATAACCCTATTTATAACCGACTTACCAAATACTGGTATAAGTGAAAGCCCGAGAAATTTCGGAGTGTTTCCGATTCTTCGGTTTCAGCAATGCTGGATCACGCAGATCGACCTCGACGCCAAAGGCGCGTTTCTTTATCCACGCCTGGTTCGTGCCAGGAAAACCACTTTGCAGGTCAACCCTGAACCCTGAACTGTAAAGTTGCGTAAGTACACCAAAATCTACAGACTGTCATGCAGAGCCCTACGTGATGCAGGTTCGGGTGTGTGTGGTGGTTGAGGCTTCATCAAAATCCATAGGTTTCAAGGCCTTGCTTTAGATAGAAGGGTGTTGGGTTTAGGATTTAGGAGAGAGCCTTACTAACCAAAGCATCAAGCCCCAAAACCCTAAACTCCGTCATGGATTCTGTGTGGTGTCGGGTTTACAATGTCTCAATGATGAAGTGTCACGGTTTCCAGGTTTCAGGGTTTAGGTTCGACCCAGGCTTGGAGTTGAGGGCATGGTCCAAGAGACTCCAAAACCTTTTATTGAGGAATATACCCTAAATCATATTAGGGTTCCTATTATAGTTGAAGGTTCATTCCTTAGTTAAAGGGTTTTGGAGTCTCTGGGGTTTTGGATCCAGGACCCCCTGAACACCAAACACTGAAACTCGAATTAGTGAGCTGTCCTGTTAAATTTTAGACGCCAACTTCCCAAACTGCCGCGCATTGGGACCTGGGCATGGATAACACCTCACTCAGTCGGCTTATGCAGAGGTCGTGGGTCTTCTCTTGTGTTTTTGCGTTCTGCCTGAGCCCAGAACGGCTTAGGATTAGGGTTCAGCATTGAGCCTGCGTTGCTTCTGTTGGGAGCTTGGCCACGCGCTCCGGGCACTTGACAAATGGGTTTTATCAGCCTGCTTGGGTTGAGGAACTCAAGTTTGGGGCACTTGTGTTTGGGCTAAGGCGGTGGCTGCTGGGGCATGGAGAAATCCACGGACCTTTGGGTCACAGGTCTTTTTAAGGGATCGGCCTGTGGGAGAAGGAGGGGGTTGCCCTCTCAGCATGCGCAAAAGAAGCGCGAACTAGTAACCTGCATGGACCTGTAGATTTGCGGCCGAGAGTTTAGGCTTGCTTTGTTTATCCAACCTCTCCGGGTAGGATGGTGCGATTTATGTTGAATCACCGCCAGTTTCGCGAGTTTGCGAGCTTAGCTTACAGAGTCCAAGCTGCCCCAACCTTCCTTGATTTCTGCATGAAGACCGAACGTGACTTGCACATTCTTCGCATGAACTGATGGTTGATTCCTGAACCCTAGCGGGGGGCTCCAAGAACCTACCGCGTTAAGGGTTAAGACGTGATTTAAGGCCTACCGTTATGGACTTATAAGTAAGTATCATAACCCCAATTAGGGTCCCTTTTAGGGTACTTATAAGTCTACTTACTACTCACTTACTAAGTCCCCCGACGCTCAAGTACCCATAGGCCCCATAGTAATTGCTTTTTGGGGTTCATAGTTAGGATTCTATAAGGTAATCCCAAAAGGCACTACTATGGGGCCTATGGCTAAACCTACCTTTTTTAAGGAACTTATATAACGAAATCATATTAGAGTGCCCTTAAAAGGTAGGTTCCTTAGGGTCCAGGTATAGCCTACCATCTTCTAGGGCTTGGGAATTAAAGTCGACCCTAGGCCTTAGCTGCAGAACTTCAGCTTGAGCATCGTCCTACGGCTGATGGACAAAATCCTGCATAACCCATAATAAGGAATAGATCATAATTCCCATAGGGTAATGCAGGATTTTGTCCATCAGCAGTACCCTTGACAGTCGAAGTACCACCCTTCACCCTTCGTAGTCACGCCGCAGTCATTTTTGGTCACTATCATGATGCACATTATGATTACTGCTATTTGTTTTGCCCGCTAATCTTCGATCCTGCCTCATTAAACTAGCCCTGAGCCTTAAATCCTGACCCGTTGACGCCCTAACCAACAAAACCATCAAAACCTTAAGCCGTCATTTCGAGATCCTTCAGCACCGGAATTTTTGTAGGGGTGTGGCGATTTGATCTCATCTCAGTGCCGCAGCTGTCGCCAGCTTTCGCTCCCTGTTTCCGCTTACGCGCAAGGATGCCAGCTCGAACCCATCCAGGACCACAAGTGCCGCTATAGGTAACCCAGTTGGGTTTTTGTATTCATAAAGTATACCCAGAAAGTTGGAACATCATTATCCTTTTCCCGTTAAGATAGAAGATAGGGAATCCAGCGCTAATCATCCGAAATCCATGTTCCAACCTTTCTGGCTTCTACTGTAGGTGTAGTTGCTTTCGTTTGGACGCTGCTTACATACCCCAAGGGTCCTATGTACCGATATAGTAGAATGTAGGGTTTCCATACTAGGAACTACTACTATGACTAGGATCTCCAGTAGTACCCTTGTTCCCTTTTTGCAGTCCTAGATTCCTTATAAAGTTACCCAATACCAAAAAGAGAGGCCTTTTTATTCTTAGGTTACTGGGTATCCTAGATGACTTTGGGAAGTATCCCCCATAACAGTACATAGGACCCTTTGCGATAGGCCCCCACAGTTGGTCGCCTCTGAGCTTGGAACCCAAAGGGTCCGGAATACTTCCCCAAATCATGTTAGTAATTCCTAATATAGAAACCCTACATTCTACTAAAGAGGTACTTTGGACCCTTCGAGTAAGAAGGATCGGTTGACGGGTTGATTAGGATTACTTGCAGCCCCAAGTACCTTCAAGTAGTCCCTAATCCGTTTCAACATTTCTTTGCAGGCCTTACAAAGATACTAAGCCCGAAACCCTACCCAAACCCGACAAACCCCTTCTGAAGCCCCATATCCAGCCTCACTTTTCCGAGGCCCTGGGGCTCAAACGTGCGCACCGCTGAGCTTCCCCTCCGTCGCGCCATGGCGGAGGTCATCAGTCTGCCGAAGGAAAGACCGGAGGACGCAGCTCTCGAGTCGATCCTGGCCTTCCTTGGTTTCGGCTTAGGGTTTAGGGTTTAATTAGGGTTTAGGGTTTAGGATTTAGGGTTTAGGATTTAGGGTTTAGGATTTAGGGTTTAGGGTTTAGGATTTAGGGTTTAGGGTTTTGGGTTTTGGGTTTCGGCTTCAAGGGCTCCGTTTTTTACTTAATGTAGGATCTCGATTAAGAAACCTGTTCCGGTATAAGCCTCAAAATATTAATATCCAGAAAGACAGCCCTAAAAAAAGACCCATGTTTCCTTAATCAGTTTCTTATAATAGGGTGTAAGGGTTCCTGTAACAGGGTTGTAGTAGGGTTACAAGGCTTCTTCTTTTGTTGAGGCTTTTTTGGGGTTCCTTCAGTTGGTTTGGCTTTAAGGCTTGCTTTTTGAGTGTTCCTTTTTCTTAGGGATTAAGGTTCAAACAGTTTAGTTGAGGGTTCAAGGCTAGGGTGCTTAGTGTGGGGCTACGGGCGTTTACGGCATATGGCTCAACATTTTTGGGGTCACTGTTTGGGTTCTTGGTCAAGGCCTTAGGGTGCTTAGTTTAAGGCTTTTAAGGTTTGTTAAGTTGAACGGGATGCTTAGGGGCTTGACACGATCCTTCTCTGGGTTGAAGGACCTGGGGTTTAGGACGGCTTCATGACTAGCGCTAAGAGTCTAAGATGGAGGCTGGCATCTTGCTACGTTGTTTGCGCAAATTTCTTTATCAGCTCAAACCTCGCCTCCTAAACCCCAAACCCTCAAACTCCGGACCGCAAATCCCTATAGCCCAAACGCAAAAACACGAAATGCCCATCTCAACCCCTAGGAGGGTCCAACCTTTCCCCCGCAAGCTCAGGATCTCGAAGCCGATGCCACATCCAAATCCCTTGCTTCGTGCGGGCCATCTCGGCGGCTGGTTGCAAGCCGAGTCGGGTAACTTCAAAGGCTTTCTGTGCGAAAGAGGCTTGGAAGCATCGGAGTCGAAGGCACGCGGGGGGTGTAGGGCCTACAGCAGAAGCCAGAAAGTTGGAACATCAACATCCTCGTGGCCTTGAAGGTAACGTATAGTGGATCCCAGCACTAATCATCCTAAATCCATGTTCCGACTTTCTTGGGGTGCACTATAGGGCTTTGTTTAGGGGTAGGTAGGTGTCTAACGAGCTACACTAGTTCTATTTTCGTGCCGACAAAACAAGCTACAACGGCGAACAGTCTCCATATTTGCGGTATGAGACCTTATTATGGGATCCTACTACACAGACACCAAGCAAGTAGTGGGATCCGCATGATAGGGACCACCACCCTAAATATGCTACCCCGAAAATTTATGAAACTCTTATACAGCGCATTAAACAGCCCTATAGCAGCCCTCATAAGGCACCCAGCTAAAGAAGATCTCTTCTGCTTGACTGTGCCTAGGAAAATGTTGGTGGAAAGACTGCCAAGAGGCTGTCGATCAGGCGGGCTTCAGAAGTTCCACTGAGCATGGTTAGGATTTGGGGTTCAGCGGTTTGGGATTACGTAAAGACTACTGCTAAAAGGATCTTGGAGTGTTTTAGATTTGGGGTTCGGGGTTTTGTTAAGGCTTACTTGGAGGTTCATGGCTGGTTATAAGTAGGGGTTATACGTCCCCACATATAACTACCCATGAACCTCCAAGTTCGTTTGGAGTTTTGGGTTCAGCTGCCCTAAACCCTAAACCTGAGGGTACAGGACTTACCCTAAGGCTCCATGTACCCATATAGTAGGCACTTAGGCCTTAAAGGGGGTCCCTATATGGGAACTTTAAGGGCTGAGTACCTCCTATATGGGTCCATGGCGCCTTTGGGTTAGAGCCTGAGCAGGCGGCTCCTTCATGTTGCAGCAAGCTCCCAGGTCCTAAACCCTACCTTCACCCTGACTAACCTAATTTTTTCGGGCTCCTTATTATGATTTCCTGATATAAGTACTTCAAAAAGGTAGGTTATTCCTGGTTAAGGTAAACCCTAAACCCTTGGGTGCTGCAGCCACTCTGTAACGGTTGGTTTATGTTGAACATACGATTCGAAATCCCCTTAATATGACCCCTAATATCACCCTTACAGGGCGGAGGCAGTACCCAACTTAAACCCTTTGCTGCAAGTTTTCAGGTTGCCACGTCGGGGGAGCTCGGAGAGAAGGAGGAGGTGATCGTGCGCACGAAGCGTGGTCCGGATGGTTTTGGCGATGTTCCTGGACCCCAAAGAACCTACCTTTTTACGGTTTAGGGTTTAGTGACTACGATTTCTATATATGGAAAGGTAGGGTATTTGGGGGGTTGAGGTTAACAAAATTGCCGACGAGATCCTCGAGAAGGTGACACTTCCGAAGGACGTCAAGGATGCCGTTCGCAACGACATTTGCGAGCTTGGCACGATCGTACCGCAGCTTTGCTCGTGGTGCAATTGCCAAACCCTGTTCAAAAGCTCCTTTTAAAGACCCTAAACCGTCAAAAAGCCTACACAAAAGACCTTGAGCCCTGAACGACTCCAAAACTCGAAGTCTTGAAACCTACGCCCGGAATTCCCAGCCCTGAGAGGTGTGATTGCTTGGTGGTGAAGCTGGAGCTGATTGGAGTCTAGGCCCCGCAGTATCACCCTTTACCTCTTTTTTTTGAGGCTTCCATAATGAATACGACAACTTCAGCAAGGGTATCCTAAACCCTGAACCCTCAGTCCTGAATCCTTAACCTTGAACCCTTAACCACTGAACCCCGAACCCCTAAGCCCTCAACCCTAAACCCTTCTCATCACGCAGCTCCTGGAGACCTAGGAGAAAAAAACTGCAAGCGGTGGCACCGCGACTTCTGGTGCGCTCGCGCCATCGTCACCTACAACTCAGCAGGCTCGCGACAAAGGTATGCTGTGGGGTCTTCTTCTTGGGGGGGTCATTCTACGAGGGTCTATAAAGTTGCGCAGGGTTAAGTTAAGGTTTTGCGGTTTAGGATTTGGGGCTTGGAGTTTAGGGTTTAGGGTCTATACGGTTTTCTAGTATTGGGTGTAGCCTTTGGGGCTACGGGTCTTGGTTGGGATTTAGGGGCCCCTAAATCCTACACCCTAAACCCTAAGCCCGGGTTTAGGGTTCAGCGGCTCTAAGCAGACCTGACTGCTACCTTGGGGGGGCACCTTCATGCCATCTTGAGACCCGTAAGCCTCTAAACTGTTTAGGGCTTAGGGTTTAGGGTTTAAACCTAAATCTGGAACCTTGCCCTTTCATCCCAAGAGCTACATCACTGAACCCTATAAACCCTAGCCTAAGCCCTAAATCGTGAAGCTGCTAAACCCGAACCTGACGCCCGAAACCCCAAACCGGTTCCTACTTGGAGGGTGGGGGGACTTAGTAAATATGTAGTTATAAGCACCCTGAAAGGGGCCCTAATTGGGGTTTTGTTACTTATAGGTCCATAAAATAACTAGTTATTAAACCCTAAACCTTAAACCCGTACAGTAAACCTCACTACTTACATACTAAGGCCCCTCACCCTCCAAGCAGGCACTCTCTACACGGGGGACGAGAACGTGAACTTCTGGGAGCTGGAAAACAAGGGCACCAATGAGCGCATTATCCGCGGCTGGGCTCCTTCGGGGTTTTAGGGCTGGGTTCAGGGTTCGTCCGGACTTGTGTGGTAGGTCGGTCCACGGGCAACGAGGCTAGCGATGCGGGCCTCTATGCCGTTTGTACAGTATCAGTCCGAGACAACGCTTCAACGAAACCAAGCACCTAGTATTTAGGGTGTAGGGGTTTTGGGTTCAAGGGTCACGTAAATTTACTAAGCGCGAAAAGCCACATAAGCCCTAAACCCTAGACACTGAAGCCTAAACTCCAAACCCTAAGTCCCACCTAGACCAACCAACTACCCACTAATATTCCCCACATACCTACTATTGAGGGCAATTAAAGCGTAAAAGGGCCCTCAGGGGGGTCCTGGTAAACCAAAAAAAGTCTGAACCCCAAAGTCTCAGCTCTAAAAGTTGTAAACCCCAGGCCCTGAACTTTAATCCGGGTACTGCCAGGTTCTATCAGGGAAAGGCATCAGGCTGCTTGCTAGGGCGCTTTGTTGAAGTCGCCCCCCCAAATTATCCTAGACCCCCCAACTACCCTCCAATATACCCCCTAAACCCTAAACCCTATTCAGGGCCATTTGCGGCTTTATTTCAGGGGCCTCGAGGGGGTCCTGGAAAGAACCCAGGCGAGAACTCAGAGATCCACTCTGCCGGCGTGGGGGACGTCCTTTTCATCAAGGGTGTGAAGTATCCGGATCCTGTGAAAGGCTTGATCCACAGGTCGGGGTTGGAAAGCCAGGTTTGGGGTTTAGGGTTTGGGTCTTGGAGTTAGGGGTTAAGGGTTTAGAACGGATGGTCTCGCAGATCCGGTGTTAGACTTCATCCACAGGTGGGTAGCTGCCCCCCAAATCCACATCAGTCTAGGTTCTTCCTCAGACAAACCACAGCTCGCTAACCCAAACCTTCAAAGATATCAATCGCCGATGTCCTGAAGCCCAAACCCGTAACCCGGTAGTACGCGTTTTGTAACCTCATGGTAGCGTTATCTGCCCTTACATACAGACCTCATAGTACCCTGATAGACCAACACCTCGCACTTTAGACTAGAACTCTGAATCTATGGTCTCCTTAGGATTTATGTTTTGTTTGTGTTCATAAAAAACCCAAGGGAATATTGAGAATAATATTTGTATTATGGTTCTAAGGAGGGTATAGGAATTCCCAGCCCTCAACCCTAAGTCACCAAGTCCCTGGGCCACGTCCCACATCGGAGCTCTCGCGCATGGCAGGTCACCAGAAGCCCAGTACCACGACAGCGGTCTTGTGCGGAATCGCCTCGTGCTCAAAGTCGATGTGCCCGAACCCGAGGTCGATGTTTAGGGTTGAGGGATAGATAGTATTAATTCATTAAATAGTTAGTTGTCCTAGTTCTTCGCAGTTGGTTGTTTTTTTGTTTCTTGACATTTTCTGGAAGTTCAAACTGGTTTAGTATCCTTCAGAACTTAAACCCTAAACCAACAAAAACCGGAGTTTAAGGGAATGCACGGGGCTCGGCTTGCCATTTTGATACCCTTTTCGTGGTAGGATTTGGAGCTTGGAGGGCTTTGGCTTTGATAGTGAACGGGGCAACTTTAAACTTGTTGGCCTTATATGTTAGCTCTATCTGAGAAAGTTTGAACTTTTTTGTGGTACCTATAAGTCCACAAAATACTTGGAGGTTCATGGGTACTTATTAGTGGGGCTATAAGTCCCCTAATATGGGTTGTAATTGCAGTTACCCTACATATAACCCCACCCATAACTACCCATGAACCCCCCAAGTAGCTACTTACTCAGTCCCTAAACCCTAAACCCTAAACCCTAATGTAGGTTTGAGGTATAGGAGTCCGAGGGTTGACAAGCCAGTTCTGGAGGGTGTGGGGTTTAGGGTTTAGGGGCTAAAGGCCTACACGTTTAGGGTTCCTTATTTATTATGCCGTAAAGTTTAAAGGCAGACCACTTCGGTTCCTTATTATGCTTAAAAGGTAGGTTATTTGTGGTTATATATAAGGTAGCATTTAGGGATGGTGCGAGGGTGTGCGGCTAAGTGTTTTCAGGCAGGGTAGGTTGTCAAGGGTTTGCAATGGCTTGGCTGTCCATATTGTAATAGATGTCTGTACACATGCATGATGAGGGGCTTGAATGATTCCCAACAGTGTCCCAGTAGACTCCCTATATATGCCGCAAAACCCTATTTGTCGTACCAGGGCCTCCAATGTATGTATATGTCTGTTGTACAATTTTTTGAAGAGAGGCTTTGACCCAATGAGTCCCGTTCCATTTGCGTCTCTGCATCCCTGCTCCTAAGCAGAAGCAAAATTCCTAAGTCGCACTATAGGGGCCTTAATAATTACCTGTACTATTTTGGGGGGCCCCCCAAAGCCCTACTCTAAATGATAAGGCCCAGGCCCCTATATCAAACCCGGACAGGCATGGCAAGAAGAAGATTGCGACTGCTGTCCGTGATCCAGTATCCCTGAAAGGGGAAGGGAAGTTTCAGTTCCGCATGCTATGTTCGCTAAACTTCAGACCGGGCTTCATATGAGGTTAGCAGGTGAGGTCTTCGGGCTCCCAGATGATATCAAGTTGGGGCAATTGATTTTGTTCAGAAGTACTTGCATCTATCAGCTGCCTCCCTTTGCGGCGGCTTTCCAGTGTGATGAGGTGATGGAACCTGTTTCTCGAATTTTGTAAGGTTGCCAATGCGACTGCATGGTGGGCCTTTAGCCACACATCTTGCCGGCCAACGAAACCTGACTTGTACAGAGGTCTGCTGGCACGTGGCTTTTGCTCAAGTAGGGGTGTTGTTCTAAGCTTCTCTAATTCGGCAGCCAGCATGATGTGGAACCAAAACGGCTTCCCCGACTCACATGGGAGGTTTTGTGTCTTGGACCCCTGGCATGTATCCTAAATTTAAATGCTCGGATCCTTACTTATTGCAAGGGCCCGGTGGATAATGGCACTGCATACATCATGTCGCCATCTGTAATGCTAGCTGGAAGCAACAAGCCCCGCACCCTAAACCATACACTCGAACTCGAACTCCCCGCCTAAAACCCTGAACCCTGAACGATAAGTCGTAACCTATATCTCAAGTTACCTTGTTGTAAGGGGTCTTGGAGTCTCTGGGTGACTGGAGCCCTACTTGGAGGATCATAGGACCTAGTAACTTTAAGGTTATAAATATTATAACCCCCATTAGGATACTTCTAATCGACGTAATTACTAAGTCCCCTGGGCCGCCAAGTAGGGAAGCACAGGACGGGCCCACCATGCCCACGGCCGCGGAAGAGGTGGTTGCTTGCTTTCAGGGCTCCGGTTTGCGTTCCTTCGGCAGGCTGCCATGAGGGCTACTATAAGGGTTACTTCAAGTTACTTCCGAGTTTAGGATTTGGGGATTTTTAGGGTTTAGGTGATGCAAAGTTCGGGTAAAGGTATTATTGACATTTGCGGTTGAGGTCGAAGGTTGTGAAACTTACTTGAAGCATTCCAGGAGGGGTGTGGGATTTGGGGTTTTGGGTTCAGGAAGTGGTTCCGGGTTTAGGAGGCTGTGGGTTTGGGGTTTGATAGCTGCGGCTTCAGGTTTTACGCTGTAGGGGTTCTTCAGCAAACGAAAAGACGACCCTACTTGGAGGGTCGGGGGACTTAGTAACTGGTTATTTTTAGGGACTTATAAGTACCATAACCCCAATTAGGGTCCCTTATAGGGTGCTTATAAGTCTACTTACTACCTACTTACTAATCCCCTATAGTACCCTTATAGAGCCCTTTAAAGGACCCCTCTAAAGGATCCTTACTACCTACTTGCTAAGTCCCCCGACCCTCCAAGTATCCTCTCAGCTCTAAAGCCTGAAGCCTTGATCTGTAAGCTCGGAACTCACAACCCGAAGCCCCGAACAATTGAGTCCTACTGTTGATGATATAAATCCTGCATTACCTTAAGGGCCCTAAACTATGGGAATTATAGTATATTCCTTATTTATGGGTAATGCAGGATTTCTATCATCCACCGTATGTTCGGCTTACACCCGAAACCGGCGTCTCAACCCGAACCTAAGCTTCATACCTTCAGCCCAAGACCCATATGGGGGCTTCCGAAAATAAGGGGACCTAATATAGCACCCTAAACTAAATATAGGATCCTGATTAAAAGGACCTCAAAATAAGGTACCCCTATGTAATTTTCGGAAACTCTAAACCCTAAACCAGTATACTTAAAGGAAGCCTTATAGTAACCCTTTAAAGGAACCTAAGTTTCGGAAACTCCCATATCCCAAATCCCATGAAGCCTGCAGGGTAGCCTTGGAAGCCTAAACCGTAAACAACCCTGAAGGACCAAATGACCCTTAAAAGTAGGGGCCCCATACTCATATACTATGAATCCCTATATGGTATATGAACCTTAAACCCTTTTAGGGTTCATTTCGTCCTTAAGGACTGAACCCTAAGCCCTAAGTGCGTGAACCCCCATCCCCAAACCCAGAAACTAGAGTCTCCTTTAGGGATTGTAGTGTTTGGGTTTAGGGTTTTGGGTTTAGGATTTAGTTTTTTTTCGTTTTTGTTCATATAAAACCCGAGGGATATTATTAAAAAACACTGTTTTTTTATTATGGTTCTAAGGGGGGGGTGTAGGAAAGCCTACCCAAAACCCAAAGATTAGGGTACCTGTCAGTGCTACTAGGGCTGTTTTTTGAAGTGCAGGGTGGTAGGGTTCCTTCGAAGATCCCTTCTAGTGGGGCGTTTCCTATTAAGGCTTAGTAGCCGAGTGGGTACACTTTTCAGGTTTTGAGTTTTTGGGAAACTTTGCCGTGTATTCGGATGCCCAGTGGTACCCTTTTTCCTTTTTTGTAATCCTAGGTTCCCTATAAAGTTTCTCAATACCAAAAAGGGAGCCCTTTTTATTCCTAGGTTACTGGGCATCCTAGATATTGATGTGGAAGTTGACTTGTTTTCTGGGCTTATGGACTCAGCAACCACAAACTCAAACTGAATGCTCTAAACCCTAAGCCCTACACCCTAAACCTTAAAACCCTAATTCGCCTAAACCCTGAACCCTAAGCCTTAAACCCTAAACCTTAAACCGTAAGCCGTAAACCCCTAAGGGGACCTTAAGGGTTCCTTCTGAGGAGGCCACAGCCACCAGATCTTCCAGCCGAAGTACCGCAAGGTCGAGGCCAAAGAGGCGAGGGTTTTTTGGGGGGGTTTAGGGCTGAGGGCTTTGGGTTTAGGGTGCTTCCTTTAAGGGTTCCTTTAAGGGTTCTTAGAACGTAGATAGGGAACGGGGGAGTTTTAAACTTTTTGGCCGTATTTATTAGCTCTATCTTAGAGATTTTGAACTTTTTGCGGCCCGGATGTTGAAGAAGAGAGGTTTGGGGTGTTTCCTTTAAGGGTTCATAGAAAGGTTCTATAAGGGTTGAGGGGTTCAGGGTCCATGTGCCCAAATAGTATACACTGTGGCCCCAATGTAGTATAGGGAGTGCTTCAAGGCCAAAGTATATACTATTTGGGCACATGGACCCTTAGGGTTAGGGTTGAGGGCTTAGGGCTTACGGGTAGCCGAGAAGATCTACATTTTGGGGTTCCTGGTTATGGTTTCTATATCTAGTTTCCTAAAACGGTAGGTTTTTTGGGCTACAGGCAGGACTTAGGGTGCAGGGTTTCGGGGGGTTCGGGCTCGGAGTTTTCAGGGTTTAGGGCTTAAGGTGTCGGGTGGTAGTAAGATCTACGCAGGCTTCGGGGCTTGAGGCTTAGGGTTTAAGGGTCAGGTTTAGGGAGGGTTTAGGGTTTAAGACTGTCGAGTATGCAAATCGTAACAGTATTTTAGTCCGGGAGCATATGAAGAAACGTTGGCAGTAGGATTTTCGGGTCGTTTGGGCTGTAGGATTACAGGTTGGACTTGATTGTAGAGGTACTATAGAAGGAGATTAAACCTTACTGCCTAGGCATGTTTTTGGCCTTAGAGGGGCTGCTGTTTGCAGGCTTTTCTTGTGCAGAACCCTCATTTAAACTGTAAGTCCTCAACCCTAAGACTTGTACGACCCTACACCAGGAACCCTTTTGTAGAGTTTCGGGCCTTGAGGGATGTTTCGTATGCCGGGGTTCTACATGAAGATCTGTGAAATGATAGGCCCGAGCAAGAATCCGGCAGTCGCCAGCCCGGCTGTGACAGGAGCCGAAAATTGAGGTCCTGGAACTTGCGGACGAAGCAACTTGCCTGCTTCAACGTTCATGGGACTAGAGTGACGAGAGTTATTAATGAGGTAACTGCACTTAAAATTACTTGTAACCCCAGTTAAGGGACGTGTAAATCACTTATATACTAAGTCCCATGAACCTTCAAG